GGACTGCTATAAGGGACCTTAAGGGTTTAGGGTTTAGGGTTTAGGGTTATAGGGACTGCTATAAGGGACCTCAAGGGACTAGCATAGGGATCCATTCCCCCATTCCCTACTGAGCGACAGCCTCTTCGAGGTGCAGGTAGGACTCTCCTCGTTGCTTCACCAAGCCAGAGGCCACGCGCTCCGCCTCGGGAGGAAACCCTTTTAAAAAGGGTTTAGGGTTTAGGGTTTAGGGTTTAGGGTTTAGGGTTTAGGGTTTAGGGTTTAGGGTTTAGGGAGGACGACACTTAAGAGGAGCCTCAGGAGTCGGTGCTCGAAAAACGAATGTAATTCGGAGAAGACAAAAAGACTACCAGATCGCTTTCACAAACCAGCTTACTATCTCCAGGACCTCCTTAGGTTCGGAGCTTCGGATTCGACTAATTGGGGCACATCATAAATCGCTTGCAAAAGAAGTAGAAACGACTAATTCTACGTGTGAAAGCCCCAACAAGAAACCCTTAGATTAGCCCTTAGAGCCTTAGAGGTTCCTTCAAAGTGTTCCCCTCAAGGTTCCCTTTCAGGGTTTAGGGTTTAGAGTTTAGGGTTTAGGGTTTTGGGCTTTTTATAGGTACCACTTACAGATACCCTTGCAGCCATGCATAAGTACCCCTGTTCTCCGATCCTCCAGCTTCTGAGCCTTCCCGTGATTCCCCAAACTCTCGTAGAGCTCCGACATGAGAACGTAGGCGCTCGCCAAGGCGGGCTTGTCTGCCACCTCCTTCAACCTGGGGGGGGGGGGTCCCAGGATAGCCCGGCGATTTTTTAACGACACGAAACTCGCCCTAAACGGCCCTAAATGGGGGTTTAAGAAAAGTTTTTAGGGTTGGTACTAAAGCTCCCACCTGGCGAAGGCCGCCTTGGCATGCAGCTTGGACTTTAGGTTCCGGCAGGCACCCAAGAAGGCCATGTAGGTCACCGTGTCCGCCAAACCCTTCGCCTCCGCGGCTTCCACGCGCTCCCAGGCCGCGTCGAAGTGCCCGGACCGGCTCAAACAGTCGACGAGGGCATTGATGCAGCCTGGGCTCTTGTTAAGAGATTCATCTCAAGGTACCACAATGAAAGAAACCATATTCCTTGCTATAGATCCCTACTTAAAGGATCATGGGACTTAGTAAGTAGGGTTATAATTAGGGTAACTATACTTGTAACCCCAATTAAGAGACTTATAACTTTACTTACTGAGTCCCATGAACCTCCAAGTAGAGGACGGTAACTTAAAGAACTAAACAGACCCCTTCTGACACGAACCCGGCAGCTTGTCGTCGGCTCCAAGCCGAAACTCGGGAGCTTCTCGTAGAACTTCAGGGCTTTCTCGGCCTCCCCACCCTAAACCCTAAACCCTAAACCCTAAACCCTAAGAACTTCAGGGCTTTCTCGGCCTCCCCGCCGTGGGAATAGGCATTCATAAGGCTCACGGCCGTCACGGCATCCGGGGAGATTCCCAGCTCTTGCATCTTCCGGAAGTAGGAGTCCGCTTTCTTGCACCGGCCCATGTTGGCAGCACTGTTGATGAGGATGTTGAAGGTGAAGACGTCGGCTTCAAGCTCTTTCTCCTGCATGGCTTGGAGGAGTCGTCTTGCCCGCTTGAAATCTGCGGCCTTGCTTGCAGCATCGATTAAGCTGTTGTAGGTTCTGGCGGTGGCTTCAATACCGTTTGCCTCCATTCGTTCGAGCTCCTCCTCTGCCGAGTCCAGCTGTCCCACGGCAACATACACCTGGGTAGTTGTCAAAATTATGGTCCCTTTTTGGGTCCTTATTATAATACGGCACCTATTATTTAGGGTACCCCAAAAGGGACCATAATTTTGACAGCTACCCACCTGAATTATGCAGTGGTGCGACACGAGGTCCGCTTTTGCGAATCTGGACAGATCACCCCAGATCTCCTGGGCCAGGTCCACCGCGGCTGCTTTGGCACAAGCACCCAAATACACATTGAAGAATGCGACGTCCGGTTTCAGTCTTCCAAAAGTCTGCTGCTCTTGTCTGTATATCTGGAGTGCTTCATTGGCCCTGCCAGACTCAACGAGTGATTTCCCGAAGATCGTCCAGGTATGCTTATCGATCAACTTCCGATGGGCCTCCAGCACAGACCTTGCCTCCAGGCTGCCCTCGCGTTGGCCCTGCCGCAGTAGCACCGCTAGGAGGCGATTCAGCGAGAAAGAGTCGGGTCGCAGGCCTTGGGCTTTCAGCTCTCCGAAGGCCTTCCGTGCGACATCCGGCAGGTCGAAGTCGACGGCTCTCTTGAGGACGATGTTGAAGAACTGAAGGTCGGGTTTCAAGGGGATCTGCTTCAAGATCTTCAGGAAAGAGCCGGGGGACGAATTGGCCGCAGAGTTGAGGATCGCACGATCAGGCTGGATGCCATGCTTCTTCGCGATCTTCAGGGCCTTGGACACCTGGGAGTTTCCGAAGATGAGGGGTACCTTATTTTGGGGTCCTTATATTAAGGATCCCATTATTTTGGGGTCCTTATATTAAGGATCTTATTATTTGGGGTACTACATTATTAGGTCCCCTATTTTCAGAAACCCCCACCTCTTCTGGGGCGCATTTCTTCAGCAAGCTGGCTATGGCGTAGCGGTCGGGACGATCGATCTGCCCGAAGAGGCCCCAAGCATCCTGAGCAGCACAGCACTAAACATATCATAGGGGAAAAAATATTTTTTCCTCCATAATATGTTTAGTATAGGGGAAAAACTATTTTTTCCCCTATAATATGTTTAGTACAAGCATCCTGAGCCGCACAGCCCGTCAAGGCTGCATTCCAGGTGAAGCGGTTTCCTTCCACAGAGTGCTCCTTCATCCCAGACAGGAGCTTCTTAGTCGGGGTGCCCGGTACCTTGAGAACACAAGCAAAGTGAACAGCGTTGACTTCTACACCGGCGTCGATCGCCTTCCGGAAGATTCGCATGGCTATTTTGGGATCACCCTGGCAGCCTTTCAGGGCAGTCGTCAGGTGGATTGCGTTCATGGTGATGTGCTGGCTGGCTTCCTGCCAGATCCTCCACACCTCTCCGGCATTCCTGGCCTGCGCTAGCCGCTTCCGGTACTCCCGCTCCCAATCTGCTTGCGACCCGTTCCAGCCGCGCCAGGTACTCTGTTCAGGTTCCCATTCTGCCGCTACTTCACCCGTCTTCCGCTTCATGGATCCACACGGTCCGGCCCAGGCGCTCCTGACTTCACACCTGCTGCACAGCTTTTTATTGCCCAATTACAACGAAGCTTGAATGGTTTAACGGTTATCCCAACATCTAATTACCAGGGCTGCCAAGGAGCACCACAGCCGCCCAAAGCTCCTTGAAGCGACTCTGCGTGAGCCCACCGCCGCTGCTCAGCCAGTAACATTGACAACCGCGCGCAACATCAGGCTCGCCGACAGCAAGCTGAGATAGATATCCGAATCCCAGTATGTATGTATATGTATATATACATATATATATATATATATACATACATATATATAATTATATATAATTATATATAATTATATATATATATATATATGTATATATATACAATATATGAAAACCTGTTGCGGCATGCATAAGTTGATGCAACTTCTTCGCAAACCTTCGGGACAAAACACAGCAGCTGCATGGTGAAGCGTGAAGCATGCCTGAACTCACTCGGTGAAGAAAGGAACTTGGGTATGTCACGGCGTGAAGCCGGGCAATGCCCATGGTGGAAACATGTAAGGGTTTAGGGTTTAGGGCATTTTAGGGTCTTTTAAGGCTTAGGGTTTGGGGCTACTAAGGCTTGAACCTTCGGCCATGCAAGAACATGAAGGTCACAGGCAAGCGAGATCGCCTCGCAGTGCGCAGACTGCTAAAGTCCGAACCTGAAAGCTTGCAAGAAGCCAGAGGCAGGGCTCATCAGAAGCCTGATGCGTGATAACTGACTGCAAAGAAGAAATCACGCAACGCTCTCTTCTTTTCCTTGGTGCCCTGGATTGTTTGTGGCAAGAGCCAATTGGCCGTTGAGGCAACAGCCGCTTCGCGGCTGGCCGATGGTGAAAACAAATTTAAATGGCATGTGTTCATGTATTCGCTGGCTCCTCTAGACAGAAGGACGGCGATGCAGCTTGAACTTTTTGAGATTCTGCGTCAACGCTTCACCATGCTTGAAGACCTCCTCTGTAAAAGCAAACATCAAAACCTGGCTGGTGTGAGCTTACATGCACGAAACGGCAGCACGGGGCTGCCGAAATAGCATGCTGCCTACAGAATGCTGCATGGTCTTGAGAAAGCAAAAAGAAGTTGAAACTGGGCAAGGAGAGACGCAGCTAGAGGGATAAGTTGCAGCTGGCTGGGCAGAAGCTCGGAAGAGCCCCCGAGGATGCAGTACAACCACAGCTCTGTGGACAAAGATGGGCCAAAGGCCGGAAGAGATCCGGCATACCCTCACACCACTCCACATCCATGATGGCATCTGTCGGAAATTCGATGAGTGCCTCACACCCAGCAGACAGCATCCTATCCACTGTCTGGGCAACAACGGCATCCAAGTTGGTCTGTGCCCCCTCCCCGAAATATGCCCTCGCCACCACGGGATAGAGCGACCAAAACGCCTGCCAACCATCGCTCGTTACCTTGGGCATAGGGCTTGCTTTGTTTAGGGCTGCTTCTCTTCGGGGCGTCAGCAGTGCAACCCTACACTTGCTGAACATAGGACAAGGATCTATGCACTCAAAACATGCCGGAATCTGCAAAAGCTCAACTGAATCCGAGCTACGGACACATCCGTACAGCTGCTTCTGGAAAGAGTCCTTCGTGCTATACGGAGGCATGTGGATGCACAACCCTGTGTTTCCGTCTTGTACCAGGGCGAGCTGTAGGGATCTGTGCATCCACATGTTTGCCCACACACCAAGCGCAGCAAGCGGGCGTTCAAACGACTGCACTGATCCTTCAGCTCTAAGCAAGATGTTGCACCTGTGCGCCCGACGGTAGCTGCTGCGGTGTTGACAAGCTGCATCGCCAAAGGCTGCATGGAGGCATCGCCGTACATGTCGCCGCTGCTATTCAGCAGCCGAGACTCCACGCAGAAGGGATAGGCTGTGGCTTCTTCTCGCATCGTGCGTGACCTCCGCTCTGAAAATGTGTCCATGTCGGGTGCGAAAGTGATGTAGGTGGAGAAACCATCAGGGGTTGTTTCCGCGGATGTGGCTTTGTGAGCCCGCACGGCAATCTCGCTGATGGACTCGTTTCGAAGGTCTCGGGACATCACAGTCACTAGACCGATTGTCCTCTGCGTATCTGTGTTATGCGACACCACAAATGTCTGATTGCCGTAGCACATCTGTGTCTTCACCGTCAGCATGATTTGCTGCAGAGGTTCCAAGAGCAAGAAGTAGGAGAGGAGTACAACTGTCACCAAAGAACCAAAATGCAAGCCGGACTCCACTTGACTCCGGAAGTTGCTGTAATAGACCTTTGTCGGCTTTAACTTTCCAAGCGCCTCCTGAATCTTGGCAGGCGTCATGCCGACAAACAGGAACTCATCAACATCCAGAATCGCGTTCAGCGCGACAGCATTCAGCATGAGGTCCTGGATGGACGTCGTTCGAGCCAACCACAGAATTCCAGCGACCAGGAGGATGGAGGCAATGCCTGCCCTTGCCAAGTGTATAAGGACGAGCATAGACCGCCGTGCTCGGGACAAGCTGCGGAACTTGTTCTTTTTGATCGACGTCCTGCGTCGCCCCTAAGCCCCAAGAAAACCTGTATCCATTCCCCTGAATCCTTAATTTGCACGGGCCAGCATGCGGGGGAGCTAAGGCTTAAGGCTCCGCTGTGAGCTTCCGGTCTTGTTGCTTGGTAACCCTGGATGCCGGCTCTCAGGGAGCTCAGGCTCTAGGATTTAGGGTTTAGGGTTTAGGGTTTAGGGTTTAGGATTTAAGGTTAGGCTCATGCTCATGCCGGCCGTTACTTTCGAACCTCGGATGTCCTGCCACTGGACGACGTCGGTATGGACATGGCGATTTCTGCTTGCCTCCATATCAACCGGAACTCCTCCGGGCACAGGGTCCGTGACGGATTCAGGATTTGGGGCGGGGAGATTGCCTTCGAGCAGGTTTATCAGTGAGCTTGCGCTTGCGATCGCGCCAGTGCAGGAACAAGAAATGCAGCTCGAGGACTGTAAAAGCTTTATAGTTGATCGTTGCAGCGGTCACCAGCTAACACGACCGCACCGATCCCTTCGCAAAGCTGCGGGCCTTGTACACGCACAGTGTCCACAGCACGATGCAAAGCATGCAGAGCAGAATGCCGGGCTGGAACGTCCCATGCACGTACTGTGTCTTTTCCAAGCCAAGAAAGCTATTGATCTGGTCGACCAGGGCTGCCTGAGTTGTTGACAGGATGAGCGCCTCATCGCCCATGCAAACGCGCGACACCAGGCTGGTGTCCGCCAAGTCCAAATGCTTGAAATCGTGAGCCACACTGGTGCGCCAGACCTCTGCAGCACCAACCTTCGTCTCAAACGCATCTCCCATGAAGGCACGCGTCAGCAGGATGGCCGAGAAGCACGTTTGCATGGTGAGGTTGAGCAGCACGAGCAAAGCAGCGAAGAGACTGTCAAACAACCCAAGGGGAAGCTCGGCAAGACCCAAGAGCAAAGGTACCGTCCAGATGCTCTCCTCGAACCGGACTTCCGTCACCTCTTCCTCCTCCACTTCGCCTAGGGACTGTTGCAACTTGCAGACAGGTACGAGAACGACACCTACCTTATTCACGTGTCCTGTTTCGGTAGACAAGCAAACTTGACTGAAGAGTCCAGTCTCCTTTCTGGGCCTCGACAACCTGCACCTCAGTGGTGGATGGCTTCTCATTCTCATTCGTCATGTTCGGAGCAACTGACGGGCTCTCATCCGTCAAGGACCCGTGGGAGGAGCGGCGATGTACACTGAAGCCATCAAGTTCTGCAAGTTGCTGCTCTGCCTCATCGAGCCGCAAGCGGAGATCGCCAAATTCAAGCTGAAGCTCCTGGCGCAACCTGGAAATCTGGTTCTCAACGAGGTGTTCGACATCGTGAAAGCTGTATGCTGGTATCTCGACCTCTGTGACCTTCACATCACCTTGCGTATCCTGCTGCAAATCCACACTGACCAGCTGGCTGGATGGCGCCAGTGCCGCCATGCTTCTTTCGCAAAAGGGGCAGTGCCAAACGCGCTCTCTGCAATCAGCTAAGCGCACCTCCGCACAAGGCACCTTGCTATGCTACATGTATGCTTGGGCCATGGCGTCGGCATTTCCGGACATGCAAGGTTTTCGGCACGAGCCGAAGATGCAACACAAACAAAAAGGTCCGACAGCATTTCCGTGGGTTTGTCCTGTTTGTACGTTGGAGGCTCCTACTGACCTAGACAGGCGGGAACGGAAACGACGGACTCATCACTCATGCCACAAGCTGCACAAGCTGGGAAACTTGTGGAACTGCGATTCAACACGGCCAAAACAAAAGCTCAGCACATGGAGACGATGCCGGCAGCGACCTTCCGGGTCTACCAGACAACGGCATTGCGTTTTGTCTTTGTCTGCAGGTGTTGGCGCAAGCTCATTCAAGCTGCTAAGCCAGCTAAGCGGAGCACGCGCGCATGTCGACTGGCACGCAGTCGGCAGAGTCAGAGTGCAATAATGGCAAGTGTCCGGCAGCAGCTGAGCGGTTCAGACGAGGAAACGAGAATCACGTGCTTTCTCTGCCTACCTCTTTGTTTTCTGAAGCTCGGCGGCTCGACGCATCAGCTTCCATCGTGCCAGGACAGCTGAAAGACGATTTTCTTCTAAAGCAAGACACCCATATCACACGCTTGCTCCTCTTTTCGACAGTGCTGCGCATGCGAAATTCGTCTTCAAAGTCTGCACCCTGTCAAATGAACTTCGACCATAGCAGGGTATCGTTGGTTTCGCTGAGCGTTCGCTCCACTTCGTCTTTGAGTTGAAAGCTGCACTCTTTACTCCACTCAAGCTTGAGCCTGCTGTAGATAAGGTACGGCATGACTGTGAAAACACAGCCGGCCAAAAAGAGCGTCGCCACAATCATGGCATACTCGATTTCCACAACATGGCCCCAGTAGCTATCATATGCTGTAAGACCTGAGACAAGTGTTGTCATCAGCGCAGCTGCAAACAGAAGCACGCACTCTGTGAGGTTCCAACGCATGGCTTTGTATGGCAGTAGCGTAGCGTAGAGGAGCAGGGAGACGCTCACAATGGACCCGATGCAGACAACTTGAAGTGCGGGAGATGAAGTGATTGGAAGCGCTGATACCGCCATTGTAAGGGCTGTCTTCCTGAACAGGCGCTCTGTTTCCCAAAGTGCAACGCCTGATCTGTATGGTTTGGTCAAGTACAGCACATGCAGCGGAGTGTTTCTGCCCTTGTGGAGCGACAGCCAAATCCACAAGCCGGATATTGCCACCATCAAAACCAAGGCGACAATCCGCAGAATCACACGGCCAGCAAAGTCTGGCAGAAAAGGACATTCATATGCATTTTGTTTGATCACCTCTGGCGCATACTGATAGCAATAGAGGTGCTTGCCGAAGTAGCTGAAGATCTCTGGCCAGAAACAGTTCCTTTGCTTTCTGCTAGCAGACCAGACATGCTTGGCTTAACAGGCCACACACTAGTGTCCATGCCCTCCTGCAAAGAATACCGCATTTTCCCACTCCAACGCTGATCAATGAGGCACCCCCAAATCAGAGTTTATTACCCACATGGCTTCATTCCCCAACTGACAAGCGGCCAGTATAAAGAGTTTAGACCCCGAGACCTTGAACCCCTCAAGCCCAAGCCCAGCTTCAACCCAACAACCAGCGCCACCCCGCGCTTCTCTGGCGCAAGGCACAGAGCGAGCCCAGCAACTAGCGCAGCAGGCACCAGGCTGTGGAGCAGGTGGACCTGCCCAAGTTTACTTTTCTAGGAGTTCCTGCTCTACTATGACTACAACTGCTAAACACCACCACTACTACCAACAGCACTACTGTAATTACTATGCTGTTTCGAATCATGTTGCTGCTGCTGCTGCTGCCGCTGCCGCGGCCAGCACCTGTATCTGCAGCTGCAGTTGCAACTGCAACTGCAACAGCAACAACAACAACAACAACAACAACAACAACAACAACAACTACTACTACTACTACTACTACTACTACTACCTACAACTACAACAACTACAACAGCTACTACAACTGCGTGAGGGCTTGGTACTGATGTTCCTCTAGTCGCTCAGCACAAAGCTGGTTGGAATAGTGCGGCTGCCTGTTGTGGAGGTAGTAGTTCACGATCTAACTCCCAACCATATATCCCTTGCAGGCACTCGGACCCTTGCCCGCCGTGCACAGAGTAAAACAAAAGTCTACGGAGCGAACAGTATGTCCCTATGTCTCTGCATACCCTCTCCCTACAACAAGACGCCAAGCGAGCATGAGAAAAATTATAAGGGCAAAGGGGGATCACCAAAATAAAGAACTTGATGTCCATCTTTACCATGTCCAGAATGATACTCTTCTTGACCGAAGATCACACACGACAGAGGCCTGACAAGTAAGTTGTAGCATGCGAACCCCCGGAAAAGATGAGCTGCTTCGGTGCAGGCCTGCGAAAGGAAGCCATCAAAGCCCATGTACTGCAGTAAGCACATAGAAGATATGCTGAATATGGAACCTTCGTCGGATGCCTGGCCGGAAAACATCTGTGAGAACAGGCCCATGGTGCTCAGAAGCACCACAGGAAGTTGCCCTGCACTCCCTCGAATCTCCTGAACAACTTTCGTCTGAGACATACCGTGAGCAACATGCCCGCCACTGTAGCAAAGGACATGAGTTGGTTGATCAGGACGCCGCTTGGCTTAGCTTCTGCTTCACCCTTGAGGGCACTAGCAGATGCCAGCACAAAGGGCACTGCGCGCTTCAGGAGCATGTAACTCCACTGGGCAGATTTCTTCCACAGGTGTGAGGCGCACTGCATGCAGAGCAGAACGCTGCTGTCCGAACGGGCGAAGCCCTGGCTGCAGCTGACACATGATGAGCCAGCGTAACCTCTGGCACACATGCTGCTGAAATTTCGGGAGTTGCCACCTGGGCACGCGTCTGCATTGGGACAATAAAATGTGAAGCTGATGTCATGCTCCTCGACCATGTGACCGGGCTGCATGGAGAACCACGTGGGGTAGCAAACATCATTTCCGTGAGGACACACTGTGCATGGCTCAACTGTGGATGGTTTGATCTGAGTGTAGTTGTCACTGCATGTGACACAGCCTTTCTCGCTTTCCGTGTCATTCGTGCCAGTGCCGAATGGACATAGCAGCCCAGCAATCTGTCGTGACGGTCTTGGTGTCAACAAGTGACAACCTTTTGTGTCAAGGCAACTAATTTTGCTGCTGGCCAGGGCACTTGCCCGGATGCTAACGCTGCTGCTGCTCTGAAAATGTACTTCTTTCATTGCTAACTGGTCGCCAACCTCAATGCATGCATCGTCGCCGTCGCTACAACGCAGTTTCAATTCTGAGATGCTTAGCGAACCGACGGAGAAAAGCGACCCTGCAACACCGACCGTGCTGCATTTGTCAAAACTAACATCTTGGAGAAGTCCAGGCTGAGATGAGTCTACGTACAAGCCACCTCCCCGACCGCCAGTTGAGCAGTCACTGAAGTTCCGGCAAGCCCACCACCATTCCCCTGGACGATGGCGGCAGTGCAGCTCTGGAATTGCATGTGGCCGCGACTGGAAGAACCTTCTACCCACATTCCACCGCCATGGCCGCTGTAGGCTGCACAGTCTCGGAATTCCATCCAGCCAGCCTTCTGGTCCAACTCTCCGCCAAAAGGTAGATACCACCTCCACCTCGTCTAGCGGTGCAAGACTGGATCGACATGTTGCCTTGAGTGGCAATTCGGCCGGCCTTTACAAGTACTGCACCTCCATTGCCCATGGTCATGCACTGAATAAATTCCAGGTGCCCATGGAGCTCCAGCTTGCCATAGTCAATGTATAAGCCACCACCCCCGCGTATGGCATCACGGCTGCGTGCAACGCATTCGCGGAAGTTTGCGAAGCCCAACAAGGTGGCATCCCGTTTTACTGCCAATCCACCACCAGCTCTGGCCTCACACCTGGAAAAAAGGAGACTGCCACCAGGCTTTTGATGCAGAGAACCGTTGAGCAAGTTGAGGCCGCCTCCATAGCCAGCCCGCGCGGCACATTTCTCGAAGCTGAGGGAGCCCCCAGCCTGTGTCAAGTTGCCAGATGCTATGAGAAGCCCGCCTCCTCCACGGGCACCACCAGCGACACAGCCCTTGAAGGTCATCTCACTGCTGACGTGTACATTGGAATGGGCAAGCATGCCGCCCGCCGACTCCGTGGCATGGCACTGCACAAAGCTCATCTTTCCAGCAGCGACACGAAGAGATCCTTGCTGGATGCGCACACCGCCTCCATGCGATGCCGTGCATCTCGCCAAGTGGATGGTCCCACCGCGCTGCAGCAGGTCGCCCTGACGTACCAGTAGGCCTCCACCCCCATCCTGGCCGTTGGATACACAAGTCTGAAATGTGAGGTTGCCGCTAGACTCCACATCCTGCTCCACTAGAGCTCCACCACCTTTCGAGATACCTGTGCAATTTGTAAAGCTCATGCTGCCAGAGGCAAGTGTGAGGCCACCAGCCACGACATGCAAGCCGCCTCCTGCCATGAAAGTCGTACAGCGAGCAAAGTCAGTGCTTCCCCCAAATTGGACAAGGCTACCATGTTGAATCTGCATACAGCCACCGTCTCCCCAAGCCAATCCATCGGCAAACAGGGTTGGGCCAGTCAGCTGCACACTAAATGCACTGAAGAGCGCTCCTCCTCCGCGGGAAGCAAAGCAAGATCTGAAGACTGTCGAACCGCCAGACTTGTTGAACACAGCTGTCCAGAGGCAACCCCCATGTCCCTTCAGCAAGCTACTGCAGTTTTGGAAGGAGACGGTCCCGCTCTGCTGGAAGAAAGACTTCTGCACATAAATTCCACCCCCGCTTTCAGAGGCACGGCATGATTCGACTACAAGACTCTTGCCAGTCTGCCAAATGTTGCCGTGGACTGCAACAGCACCACCCATCACCTTTGCAGTGCAGTTTCTGCAAGACACATCACCTCCCAGCCGAAGATCGCCTTTTGCAAACACGGCTCCACCATTCTGTGCGTGGCAATTCTGAAAGGTCAGACTGCCATTCTGATACACACTACCCTGTGGTAGATAAACGGCACCTCCGGAACCAGTATACACCTGGCACTCAGAAAATTGAGCGCTTCCATCACGTTGCACGAGGCTACCACCCCAGCTTGCAATGCCACCGCCTCCCATGCCGGCAGTGCAAGACTCAAACACGTTGTTGCCTCCCAGCTGCACTCCCTCCAAGCTGTAAAGCGCTCCTCCAACTCTTGCCGCGCAGGATACAAAACGTGCGTATCCATGGGACTGGTGAAAAGCCTTTGCCCGAAGAGCACCACCAGCAAGCTTCGAAGCGCAATGGGAAAACTGCATCGCTCCACCATCCTGCGCAAATGTACCTGTCGCAGCGATTGCCCCCCCCATCCCCTTCGATTCACAGTGCTGCATCTCCACTTTGCCTTCAAGCGTCAAGTCGCCCATAACCCGTAAGCAGCCACCATGCCTTCGCGCGCTACACCGAGAGAAACTCATGCTGCTGTCTAACAGCTGCACAAGCCCACTTCCCACTTGCAGACCGCCTGCTGAACCGCTATGACTGATACAGTCACGGATTTCAATGTGGCCCCCAAACTGGATGACCTCTCCTTCTACCTGGATACCACCTCCATCCTGCCTGCTGCTACAATTTTGCACTTGCAGACTGGCCTGCAGGTTAACCCAAAGCTCATGTCGCACGAAGAGTCCACCCCCAGATGTCTGCATATTCCGGCAGTTTTGAAATGAGATGCGGTCGTCTGAGGTGCCTGAACCCACTTGAACGCTGTCTGCAGTGACACAAGCCTGTTGGAAGGATCCATCCCCAATGAAAGCAATGTCGCCCTCCATGTTGAGCGTCCCTTCAAAAATCAAAGGCGCCTTAAGCAGAACTCGGGCAAACCTGCCATTCAGCCGGCATGATGATCCGGGCACTACGGAAGCGCTCTCCACTGTGTAGTTGCCCCACAAATTGTAGCTTCCATTGCAGCTGCTTGGAAAGGGGCTGGGTTCGTTCGCATCCAGATTGTTGTAGGTACGCTCCGCTGCCACCACGGAGATGAGCAAAGCCCAAAATCCCATCTCTGGGCCCACTGGAGATCAAGCTGCTTTCAGCCGTTCACATGAACAGATGTGTCAAATGTCAAACAAAGTTGCTTACTCACCGTTTTGGTGAGCAAATCTGGACTTGTGCCGAGTTGGCTTCCAACAAGCTTCGGCATGCATCCTAGACCCCTGTGCTTTCCTTCGCTGAACAGCACAGCCTCCGATCATGTGCTTCAACATGCAATCTGCTGGTCTCGCCATGGATGACAAACAGCCGTCGCAACAGTTGTATGAGACGCAGAATCGTGTCACTACAACCCCTTCGATTGGTGTCAAGAAATGTGTTGTACATCCGACTAGCTCAGTACACAGGTGACTGCAGCTATTCCAGGATGATCCATCCCGGTGCCGCTTTAGGCGAGCAATTCCTATTTGCCTCACTGCTGCAATCCAAGCGAAGAGCAACATGACTACTGCTTTGAACCACGAGCCATGTTTGAATCTGGACACGTTTGCCAAAATCGTCGCCACGTCCGCATGCCTGCTCACGCTGTCGCCAATTTCCTGTGAACCTGCTTGCTCCGGAGCTTGTGCTTCTTGTGGGCGATGCAAGGCGGACTCGCACCATCTCTGATGCGACGCACATGCAGCAGCTCAGCCACGGCGGAGCGACAACTTCTCATAATGATGCGTGATGGAAGTCACCAAGCATTTGCTCGGCCTTTTGTTTCGCTCGCAGCTGGGGTCGAGGCCAAAGTTGACGCCGAACTCAAGAGTCTAAAGTCGTCAGGTGTTAGGTGACTCAAATTATGCCCCAATGGTATGTGGGGAAAAGCGGTATATGAAATATCTGAAAACTTCTGACAGTCAATGTATATTGCGAAGATGAATCAGCTTTCCGCTAAGCCGTACGCTTGGTCCAAGGGGCGCCCCTGCGGTCAAGGGGTGCTGTCAAGCACTGTACAAAGCTAGGTCCAGGTACACACACTGTACTCGCTGCAAAATGGGTCGGTTTCACACTTGTGACTCTTACAGCGTCAGCTTGGTGAGACTTTGACTCTTAGGATCGACGGTTCTACTCGTCGTCGTCTCGTCGACCTTCTCTGAAGGTGCTTGGCACGCTCCTTCACAACACTCTCGAGTGGCTGCTCCACGTCGAACGTGTTGGTTCTCAAGGCCTCTACCAACTTGTTGGGCTCCATGACCCTCGTCATTGGATCAGCAATCATGACGTCAGTGTTTATCCACCTGACAATGTCAGTTAACTGATCATCTGCTGGCTTGTAGTCGTCGTAAAAAGGGTCGCCAGCCTTTTCACCAACCTTGCGCCAAAGTTCTTGACGTAGAGACGCGATCTCGATGCTCAACCTCTTGTGCGAGTGCTTGTTACACTTCGGATTCGAAAGCGTCTGCTCCAAGCTCTTGCAATCTGTCATCCAGATCTGCTTCACAAACTTGGCCGACGTAGCCTCCCACCTTTTCATATCGAGGCATCCGAAGATGTCGGTGACTGCTGCTCTCAGCACGTCGCCGTCCTCCACACCTGCTTGAAGTGTGTAGGCCTCTGCCTGCATCGTGGAGCGAACCCTCTGAACGAGGTTGCTCGCCCACAAGATGGGATAAATGCTACCCTTGTCCCCTTTCCACAGGGCACCGTCAGTAAGAAACACCATCCTAGCTGCTTGGCTCCGGTGCTCTTCGATGGATGTCATCTCATTAATGATCATCTCTCGGGACTCGCGAAAGGTCCGTCACCACCAGGCTCAACAAAGCTCCAGGGGTCTTCCAGTCCAACAGGCCCGACTTGAAAACAAATCTTCTGTCGTAAGTGCCAATAGCATACTCGACCGCTTGTTGGTTTTTTTGGCGTGAGCAGGCCTCGTCGACGGCGGTTGCCGCACTCGGTCCTAAAGTAAGAAAGCTTCAGAAATCAAGAATGACAATCTTCAAGAAAATTATACAAAGGTGAAAGCTTCAAAGAGCTAACCAAAACAGGGCCGGCAAAAACCGCAGGTTCGAAAACTACGTCATCTACCCTGTTCGGCACCGGCCGTGCTGCACAAGCCTCTTAGCAAGCTAACCCTCCAAACTGTGCAAGGAAGGCAACAAACCACTTAGCGACAAACAAAGGTAGAAGAGAACCGTCGTCCAGCAAC